GGATGGACCGCGAAAGCATCGGCGACCCCGAACACAATGGAATGACCAAGTGCACAAGGACCTGTCTGTACAATTGAACAAGTTTTTGGGCTCGGCCCAAATCGACAAGCGGTTGCAATGCAAAACAAGAAAAAGGTAACGAACGCGAATTACACAAATATGTATGTATTTATATTTCAAAACGCTCTAATTTTTTCCCCTTCTCTAAACTTATCTTTTTGTGTATACATACGTACAGGGGCGCACCCAGGAATATATTTTAGGGGGGGTTTTATATTTCTGAAGATATATCACCGGAAAATACTGAACATTTTCTTCAGATAATACGCTCTTTAAAATATATTTATGCAAGTTTTATGTACAGTATGTAATAAATAAATAAACGTTTTAAAATTCATAAACTGCACTTTATTTACATAAGATTAACAGAACTCAAACACTTTTAACCGACTTTAAAAAAAGGGGAGGTTATCGATTCGCCGGAATACGTAACTTTGGACCACGTGAACCGATTTCAATAATCATTTTTTTGTAGAAAGATGGTACCTCAAGGTTCGTCCCGTAATTTGGTTTAGAGATCCGATGATTGGATCATGAAGAAATTAACGGTACCCCTAAATTTGAATATAAGAATTGAAGCCCGTTGTGTTCTTTCCTTAAAAACTACTTGTTTAATAAAAAGTGCTATAAACTCAAGATGCACTCAACTTTCAAAAGTACCTAAGAAAAAATTTTAAATAAGACTCAGTAAAAATAAATTTATTGATTCCATGAATTTTTGCACTTTTATGTTCCTTTTTTCGATTTCTGGTTTCTGGCTTTCGATAGAGATGGTGATTTTTCACGATTTCTAATTTTTTTTAATATTTCGAATACCGAAAAAATTAACTGAACTCTCAAGAAAAACCAAAAATTCATATAAAACGACGGACGAGAAATGAAAAAGAAATTTTCTTCTACCAAAATTTCTTAAATCAGTTTGCAGCTCTCAAGAAAAAAATGCTCGTATATTCATTTCCTCATGAAAATTTACAGCTAAAGCAAAGCGTCTTTTCAAGCAACAGAAATTATAATAAATATTTCTTATAATTTCCTTGAGAGCTGGATTCTTAGCTTTAAGATACAGTTTGTATTTGAGGTTATTAGCTTTAGGGGGGTTTGAACCCCAAAACCCACCCCTTGTGTGCGCTAATGCATACGTATAGTTTTTGGTAAATTTCAAAAATTTTGGGTTTCATCAAGTGATTTGCATACTAATTACATAATTAGCACTCGAATTTCAAAACTCAAGCTGCAATGCTCATTTTGCGATTCTCGGTAAAGGCTCGTGTGTTGGTCCGTTGGGTAAGCACATGTTGGAATAATGGGAAGCATCATTGAGATCTTAGTTGTACATACAAACATAAGCTTAATTACGATTCCTTTATTTGATAATCAACAAATGTCTGGGTAATTGTAAATGATTCAGTGATTTATTGCTGAAAATGTTCAAAGATGATTATCATATAATTAAATAAATGGCATATGTCGGCATGTATGTATGTATGTATGTATGTATGTATGTATGTATGTAAAAGGGGCTAATTGGGTACCACGCTAGATTGGCAGTAGATATTATGTAAATTGTACAAATATGGGAAAATAAACAATAATTTACGTTAACTAAAATTTAAAATATATATTAAAGAGGACGGCGCATTGGGACATTTTTTTTGTTGAAGGTGTCGCACATTTTTTCCATATGAAAAAATTATCAAACATTATTTTATATGGAGAAATGGAGCGACACCTTCAACAAAAAAAATTGCTAAAAATCAATGGTAAGTCCTAGCTACCTCAAGCTTGCACTTTGTTATACTAAAATTGAATGGGCTAAAAAACTGCATACTCAACTTTTTTCCAGTGAGCGTAAATAAAAAGTGCAATTTTTGAATGAAATTTTGCAGATTTTTCTTTAATTTTGCACAAGGTTTGGAACTTTGATTTTTGGGATTTTTAGCGAAAAATAAAATTTTTAAAAAATAGTTGCCCGCATTGTAAAAAAATCGCTGTACCTAAACTTTATTGACTGACTGTATGTCGCTTTCGTCTTTTACATGGAATTACCCAGATATGATTTGATTAGTAAAAATATCTTTTTGAGGTGCATTTTATTTATTATTTTTAATTTAGCTTTTGCAAGATTAAATTGATTTATTTATAGGCTAGAATATTGACGGCATTTTTGTTTATTTTCATTTTTTTTTTTTCACTGAATACTGAGGTACTTATCAAGCTAATAAACTGGTAAGCATTAACAAACCACCCGAAACTGTTTGAATTTAGCACCACCGCCCAAAATATCACGTGCCGATATCGGTATAAAATTGCAATTTAAAATTAAGCTCTCCCAACAAAAGCGTGCACCCAAACAACGATTGAATAAATAAAAATTCCAATTTGGTTTCCTTAAAATTTGGCTTACCCCATAAAAAGAAAGATTGCAGATAAGTCCTGTATATCAGGATGAGGAAGAGAACAACATTGAGCTTGCGAAGGTCAAGGTGTGCAATGCAGACAAACAGATAGCAACCAGAAAAAACTTACAAAAACTCACAAAAACATAACCACTGAAAATCACTAAAAACACAATGGAAAGCAATTTAGGAGGATGCCGCAGACAAGCAAAAAAAAAGTAAACAAATATGGCCAACGTTGTACAGCAATTGAAGTACCATTATTCCTGCGCGTGCCAGCAGCTTAACATATTTATTTTTGGCCCAATGTTATTAAGCTGCGACCAGGCAACAAAGAAGCAGCATAAAATAATGGAATGTGAATTGCACGAGGGATCGTTTGCGGATTGATAAGAGTGATAAGCGTACATTGTAAAAGGAAATGAGCAAAGCAAAGTAGAGAAAAGCATTGAAAAGGTCTAAAATAAAATAAATGTTGGGGCAAGCATGGCTAAGGGTCGAAAAATGGTCGAAATTTTCGAACTGTTCGAAGCGCATGCGCAGCAAAGAATTTGTACTAATGAGGGGAAAGGAGGTCGAACTGTTATACATATTTACTTGATAAGAGTTGTAAGCGCACATAGCGTGGCATATGTATGCACATATGTAAGTATACATTTGCATGTACATGCCTAAAATTTTAAAATACATACATACGTACTTACTACATTCTATTGCTGCATAGAACAATACCTATGTATGTACATATAAAACTATATGGCAAATAAGTCTGATAAACGAAATGGAAAAACGCATGTATTACATAAATACATACATAATATATACATTTATGTATTCCATATGTATGTATTTATGCATTTATATACATATGTACATAAGCGTTTAACAGTGCTGGTGTCAAGTTAATGCTAAGTTGAAATTATGTGAATATTATACATACATACATACATATGTACTTCTTGCTCCTACTTTTATGGAAGCTACTTTCCAGCGAAAGTAATAAATAAATCGATATCTAAAACGATAATAGTATTATGTAAATATGCACATACTTAGACCTCTCGCATAATAGAGACCATTGTATTTTTAGTAGCATACTTCGAGAGGCTTGGCAGTTTATGGATATTTGCAACCAGATACTAATGCCATGCTAATTCGTGTCCTTGCCATTATGCTATAATATTTTAAGGATTAATATTCGTGCATTGCTAGCAATTTTTGGTGTAGTAAAAATGCTCGTTTCTTTTGTGGGCGTTGAAGATTTCATTCTCATCCGCAAGCGTCAGCAAAACATATATAATTAGATAGATATATGTACATATGCAGATAGGAATGCGAATACTTTAGTTAAAAAAATTTGTAAATATATTTCGAAGATAAAGTATGTCTCTTGCCCCATTTGAAGTAGTAATTTTAGCCATATTCTGCGTCATAATTTTTTAGTTTATTAATTCTGCGATTTTTTAGTTCCTTCATTGACCGCGCCTGAGAAAAGGGAGTCATCGATCAAAATTGGTTTGAACTGCTGTCTAAAAATCAGGGCTTTTTTTTTTAAAAATCGCCACGGATAGGGCGACGCGAAATTTAATGATATTTTATTAAAAAACGGAAACTGGAAATCGGTTCATATTTGGGCTCTCAAAATTGATTTGTCCACAGCAACCTTCTCTTTGCCCCACTGTGGGAGGCTGGATGGACGTCTGGATTTTCTTAGAATTTCTTAACTTTTCTATTTTTATTTACTACTTTATTACCACGTTTATATCATTTCGGTTTGTTGTTGGCCCAGATATTATAGCAAATAATATTGTAAAAATGAAAATAATATATATATATATATATATGCAAAACTAATCTAAACATCTATGTACCTACCTCGGCGGTTAATCAAGTGAAAAAATCAGTGAACAAATTTAGAAAAACGTACACTTTTCAAATGCAGAGTTATTTCAATTCAAAGTGCATTCAATTTTTCCCTTTAATAGGCTATGTCGCTAAAATACTATAATTGGGTACTGTTTAGTAAGTGGCCCAACTATTTCGGGCTATTGCGTCCAAAAGGGAGACCGGATCCAAAATAAGATTCCACACACTTGTAGCCAATGGTCTACGCATTATTTTAACACATACCCTTGTTATTTTCGGCTCGTAATTTATTTAGAAATTCGGTTCGAAATATGCCCATTTTTGTAAAATTCAGAAAATAGCACACATTAATCACTGCTATTCTCCTTAAAGCACCCCACTTCATCAAAGCGTTTTTATATTCGCCTTCACTTTAGACTTTATTTTATTCGTTATAACTTTTTTTATTTCTTTAGCTTCTACAAATTACTCACAACTTATTAAATTAAAACGCCTCAAAAATCACGTTTGTACCTTTATTTGCATATGCAAATTAAATGGCGGAAACAGCTGTCAAACTCCAAGTTCGCATCCAAATCCGAGTCCCGAACCGATTTCCCAAAACAAAGTTTTCCCATTTTTGACATTTGTAGTTCGTACTGTACATGCGCTTTCTGTACATTTGACGTTTTTCGCTGTCATAAATCTCAGCTGTTCGTGTACGTTTTGTACATTTCATTGGTTTGTGCTACAAAATTTGTGAAATATATCTGAAAATTAAAGTTGTGCTAAGTATTTAAATTACAAAACATAAAAAAATGACTCAAGATATACTAATGAGTAACGACGAGCCAATGGCCACCAATGATGCTTCACGCAACCAGCTGAATCAGCATTGTACAGCTGCAAAGTCTGCGCAAGGTGCACAGCTACTGGATGTGGTGCGCCAAGTATTGGAAGCACCGTCAATTTATGTATTTGGCGAACTGCTCGCATTACCCAACGTGCAGGAGGTAAAGTCGAGAGGTGTCTTCTTATATTTGTTTTCCGAAATTTACTTAAAAGCATGATATTGATTTTTGCAGCTCAAAGATGGGCCGCATATTAAATACTATAACACATTGAATCTTTTTGCTTACGGTACATATAAGCAATACCGCCAACAACCTAGTGAATATTTGGAATTGACCGCTACAATGCAGAAAAAGCTGCAACATTTGACCATCGTTTCTCTAGCTATTAAAAACAAATGCATCCCGTATGAGGTACTGTTGGAGGAGTTGGAAATCAATAATGTACGTCACTTGGAAGATGTTATCATTGAAGCCATTTATGCCGGTAAGTTTGAGATTATTAAGGATTGCTATAAAAAATTAACTTTACAAGATAAGTATTGTGTGGGCGCTTCATTGCTTAAAATAGTTCGGAAGCAATAGTGATAAGTTTAATAGGTGGGAAAAGCGTATCCTTAGGTGTGTATGTATATACCCATGTATATTTTAAACAGTTATTTTTGAGTGTTTGCACTCTTACGTTTTATTGCATACTCTTCCATCCATCATGTCAAGCAATCAATATAAAACATCCTCTGCCACAACAATGCGCTATAAGTATGTATACACGACATCAATTTAATTCCTTTCTCATATTTATTGCTTTTACTCCCGTTCCTAACCACCAGTTCCGTACAAATGTTATAAACTTTTGCCAGCTGTCTATTTAGATGTAGCTCTATGCACATTTACATGGTTGCATGAGGTGGGAGGAGTAGTAAACCAAATTGAGAATTGCTGTGTTAAAGTTCTCACAAACTTTTGCAAGATTTACCACTTTGGAGATTTATTACTGCAGCTGCTGTGGTATTCAGATTGCGATTTGCACCGGATTGCTTTGCTGCGTGCTGGCATATATACATAGGTATAACCGTTGTTGATATTTTACAGCGCAATACGAAGGTTTTCTGCACACGCATTCACATTGATTTAGATACGATTGCATATTCGCGCATGTGTGTATGTGCTGGGTATGGCGCATGTAGAATACATTTTGCATGAAGCTGTTGTCAACCACATTTGCTACCAAATAAGCTTAAAAGGAAAAAGAAAAACCTTCTATTGAATTAAAAATACATTCGATTTTTCGTGGTACTGAAAAAAGAAGAAAAATTGGTAGCTTTCAAGCTCTTATTAAAATTTAAAGCGTGTTTAGCGCGAATATTCCCTTACTTCATTTCGTATCTAGCACATATTCATACATATAGCATATATTTACATGCCTATGTAGATATGCATTGCAACTACCGTTTTTGCTTTGCAACTCACGTACAATTTTAATCTGAACTGCCTTAAAAGTGCTTGCGTTATTGCACTTGCTGCAGTATCAGTTCTGTAATCTGAGTTTATTGTGAAAGTTGCGAATGCATTTTGCTTGCCGAAACAAGCTGCCTTTAGCCTCAGCATGTAATATTTCATCTGGTTTTTTTTTTTAAATCTGCTCTACATAAAGGAATGCGGAATATGGGCTGACTTGTTTTCAAATACAAAACGGTTAATGTTCCCATTTACTATCCAAAAATTCGTTATTACTTTGCTTCTACCCAAATGATTGCGTTTCGTTGCGAGGTAAAAACACGAAACGTTAGGGGTATTCAGGCGTTAATTCCAAATGCATTGCACCGTTTCGAAATGC